TGAAACTTAACTAATATATATATATATATATATATATATATATATATATATATATATATATATATATATATATATATATATATATATATATATATATATATATATGTATTGTACAAAAAATATTTTATAAGTAAAAACTATTCTAGACTTTTTCTAAAGCGATCTGAGATAAGTTTTTTTAACTAATATATATATATATATATATATATATATATATATATATATATATATATATATATATATATATATATATATATATATATATATATATATATATTTATATATATATTGTACAAAAAATATTTTATAAGTAAAAACTATTCTAGACTTTTTCTAAAGCGATCTGAGATAAGTTTTTTTAAAAGTGTGAAATGATTGTAAAGATTCTTACTTATTTATTGATAATAATGGTTCTTCTTTCCGTGCAAGTTCAACAGGATATTTTTCTCTAACAGCAAACTTCACATCTGCATTTTCATCTGTACGTACTCTCAAAAGTTGTAAGATGTTATACTCAAAATCAGCTAAGACAATATTACCCTATGCATAAAATTACTCAATTGTTCTTTATCCAAATCTTTAAAAATACTAAAAGTGCTTACTCTATCCTTAAGTTCTACTCCAAAGTAGAAATCTCATTAAAAGCAAAACATTAAAAACTCCTTCTTTTATAAATCTCTTCTCCAAGGTAACAACCTCATCGAAAATAAAAAAAAAAAAAAAAATCTTACTCTGTCATAAAGCTCCACAATAAGATGATAAGCAGCTTCATCATAGCCAAACGTCATGTCCACAATTCTATCAACACCCAATTGATTAATTGATGCTAACCGTCTACCTTTAAGATGTTTACGACACTAAAAATATTATTTTCAAATAACTATTGATTTTAAATTTATTAAAGTACTTTATAAACCAAAAATATTAACTAATTAAATATTAATATTTAATTTATTATTATTATTATTATTATTTCTTGTTTGTTCTTTAACATAAAATATTAGTTTAACACAAACTTTTTGACAAAAAACACCAATAGTAGACCATACGAGTTTAAAAAAAAAGAGAAAACAATTAAAAAAGTAATTAAAAACAATAATTCAAACTAAAATTATGAGAATGGAAAGACAAATAAGTTTACAGTTATGCGATAAACATATTGTTTACAACTAAGTACTAAATGGCAGGCTTCAAAAATAAAAGAATTCAAACCCATGACCTTGGAAATATCACGCTTAAATTTGTATCTATGCAGCAACCTTGTTCGTCAATGCTCAGGTTTTGAAATTATGAGGTTAATTATAACAATACACAGTGGGCTAGTTGTTTTTAAATTTCAAAACTAATTTATTGCTTGAGAATGTAAAACATCGACGCCCATGGACCATTAAAAAATTAATTCTCTTAATTAATTTTTATTGCTTCATAGAGAGAAACATATTTGTTATCAGTATCACCTTTTAAATGTTTCAAAAAAATATCAAACGATGTCAAAATACCTTAAAAATCTATACTTTGATGTTGCATGAATAAAACATCAGAATGCTGAAATATATAATATGGACTTTAAAAATGTATAAAAAAATGTATAAAAAAAAACGTTCATTTAAAAGTTGCTTATAGTTATTTAGCTGACTTTTGGCAAGTTGTAGCTCACTGTTTTAATGTTGTAGCCCAGTGTGTAAAGAAGAAAACAAATACTAATAAATAAAAAAATGAGTATTTTCTTTGACTGAAGTAGCCTCTTGGGTTTTGATGAGGTGAATACATTAAAAAAGAAAATGTCCAGCAAGTCAAGTACATCCACGATAATATTAATATTACAAAAGATTTACAAAAATACCATAATATTACAAAAGATTTACAAAAATTTATTTGCCAAACAACTTTTTGATAATTATACACAAAGCAAATCACAAAATAATGTGTAACAAATCATAAATACATAATTTATAATTAAATCACAAAATATATATCTAACAATCATTACTAAATAATTTATAACAAATCGCAAGATTTAAAATAAAATAAATAAAATTGAGCACTAACAGCAACTATGATATAAAGCATATTAAATCTCTTGTTCTTTCCACAAATATAAAGCATATTAAATCTCTTGTTCTTTCCACAAATATAAAGCATATTAAATCTCTTGTTCTTTCCACAAATATAAAGCATATTAAATCTCTTGTTCTTTCCACAAATATAAAGCATATTAAATCTCTTGTTCTTTCCACAAATATAAAGCATATTAAATCTCTTGTTCTTTCCACAAATATAAAGCATATTAAATCTCTTGTTCTTTCCACAAATATAAAGCATATTAAATCTCTTGTTCTTTCCACAAATATAAAGCATATTAAATCTCTTGTTCTTTCCACAAATATAAAGCATATTAAATCTCTTGTTCTTTCCACAAATATAAAGCATATTAAATCTCTTGTTCTTTCCACAAATATAAAGCATATTAAATCTCTTGTTCTTTCCACAAATATAAAGCATATTAAATCTCTTGTTCTTTCCACAAATATAAAGCATATTAAATCTCTTGTTCTTTCCACAAATATAAAGCATATTAAATCTCTTGTTCTTTCCACAAATATAAAGCATATTAAATCTCTTGTTCTTTCCACAAATATAAAGCATATTAAATCTCTTGTTCTTTCCAAAAATATAAAGCATATTAAATCTCTTGTTCTTTCCACAAATATAAAGCATATTAAATCTCTTGTTATTCCTACAAATATAAAGCATATTAAATCTCTTGTTCTTTCCACAAATATAAAGCATATTAAATCTCTTGTTCTTTCCACAAATATAAAGCATATTAAATCTCTTGTTCTTTCCACAAATATAAAGCATATTAAATCTCTTGTTCTTTCCACAAATATAAAGCATATTAAATCTCTTGTTCTTTCCACAAATATAAAGCATATTAAATCTCTTGTTCTTTCCACAAATATAAAGCATATTAAATCTCTTGTTCTTTCCACAAATATAAAGCATATTAAATCTCTTGTTCTTTCCACAAATATAAAGCATATTAAATCTCTTGTTCTTTCCAAAAATATAAAGCATATTAAATCTCTTGTTCTTTCCACAAATATAAAGCATATTAAATCTCTTGTTATTCCTACAAATATAAAGCATATTAAATCTCTTGTTCTTTCCACAAATATAAAGCATATTAAATCTCTTGTTATTCCTACAAATATAAAGCATATTAAATCTTTTGTTCTTCCCGCAAATATAAAGCATATTAAATCTCTTGTTCTTTCCACAAATATAAAGCATATTAAATCTCTTGTTCTTTCCAAAAATATAAAGCATATTAAATCTCTTGTTCTTTCCACAAATATAAAGCATATTAAATCTCTTGTTCTTTCCACAAATATAAAGCATATTAAATCTCTTGTTCTTTCCACAAATATAAAGCATATTAAATCTCTTGTTCTTTCCACAAATATAAAGCATATTAAATCTCTTGTTCTTTCCACAAATATAAAGCATATTAAATCTCTTGTTCTTTCCACAAATATAAAGCATATTAAATCTCTTGTTCTTTCCAAAAATATAAAGCATATTAAATCTCTTGTTCTTTCCACAAATATAAAGCATATTAAATCTCTTGTTATTCCTACAAATATAAAGCATATTAAATCTCTTGTTCTTTCCACAAATATAAAGCATATTAAATCTCTTGTTATTCCTACAAATATAAAGCATATTAAATCTTTTGTTCTTCCCGCAAATATAAAGCATATTAAATCTCTTGTTCTTTCCACAAATATAAAGCATATTAAATCTCTTGTTCTTTCCACAAATATAAAGCATATTAAATCTCTTGTTCTTTCCACAAATATAAAGCATATTAAATCTCTTGTTCTTTCCACAAATATAAAGCATATTAAATCTCTTGTTCTTTCCACAAATATAAAGCATATTAAATCTCTTGTTCTTTCCAAAAATATAAAGCATATTAAATCTCTTGTTCTTTCCACAAATATAAAGCATATTAAATCTCTTGTTCTTTCCACAAATATAAAGCATATTAAATCTCTTGTTCTTTCCAAAAATATAAAGCATATTAAATCTCTTGTTCTTTCCACAAATATAAAGCATATTAAATCTCTTGTTATTCCTACAAATATAAAGCATATTAAATCTTTTGTTCTTCCCGCAAAATTTTATAGGGCTTGTGTCCAGATAAACAAATCAATAAAGAACCATTGCTATTCAAAGTTATGATTTTTTAATGTTCAAAAAAAATTTTTTTTTGAACACTAAAGTTTAGTTTTTATAAAAATGTAGATTAGCAATTCTTATCACTCGCTGTATTTTCTTTACTCAAAGTTTTTAACCACTTTCTAGTTCTTCATTCTTTCACCTTTTCTTATTAACTATTGACATAATAATGGATGGCAGCAGCTTTCTTGGAAGTGAACTTTATTTTTTTTAACTTACAATTTAAACTATAAGATAATTATGAATTATAATATTTATATAATATATTATATTATAATTGATAGGTTCAATTCTACTTGTCTAATATGTAAGCAGTAAAATATTTATCACAGTATATGGCTAATAATCAGCTGAATTCAATAAATACTTATGATTTAAAAAGTAATATATAACCACGAATCTCAAAATAGAAATATATCCTGTTTAATCATTTTATCGCACAAATTTTTCATGATTAGACATAACCATTCAAAAATTCTAAATATGCCTATGTAAACAAATTGCTATTTGGGTTTAATATAAATAATCACAAACTGATTTTTTGTATGAAAAACAAAAGAAATAAAGCGAATTCTAATATAAAAATAATACAAAATAATATAATAAAATATAAAGCTATGAATTTTTGTATATGCGTATATTTTGGTGATTTGATTTTAGAGAAAGTTGAGAAACTTTATGGAGAATCCTAATCTGGTTTCATTTATTAAATCAGAAAAATATTTGCTTAGGTAATTGGTCTTTATTTTGCATGAATTTTATAGAATGAAGGGACAGGTATAGTAAAAGCATGCAACTTTGCTGAATAACAAGCCGATCAACAACTAGTTTTGGTTAATTAAACTTTGGATGATAGCTTGCTTGTTTGAGCAGCAACCATGATAGTATTTGTAGAAAAAAGAAAGAGATGCAACAATACAACAACAGTAAATTGGCTCGATTTTGGCAGATAAAGCAGATCTAACTACATTTAAAATGTGGTTTCAGACCTTGTGTGAGAGTGAGAGAGTTGTTATACATCAATATAGGAATGTCCACAACATTGTGATACAGTTTATTTCCGGTAAGTTAAATACCGCTAACTCAAACTTTTGTTATTTTGAACTGTTTCATTTGGTTCCTTGAAATCATCTTATTGATTAATAATAAAAATTTCCTGTTAAGTCAAAACTCAGATAACTAAAATTTTGTTTAGTTAAACCATTTTTTTGCCCCCTTGTTCCCTTAGCAAATATCTTCAGTTAACTCAAATTTTTGCTATTGGAAATTAAGAAACCAAAATAACTTGATTAAAATTTGCTAGCTTTTTGACGCTGTTTTACCTTAAATCAACCAAAGCTTGACTAATCGGGAATTCGCTTTAGTCAAATATTCGTTTGACTAAAGCGAATTTCCCGAAAACCCAAGGAAAATGGTTCGACTTGTTTGACTAAAGCGAATTCGCTTTAGTCAAACAAGTCGAACCATTTTCCTTGGGTCCCTCAGAGGTTCGAGTTATCAGGAATTAACTGTAGTTATTTTCAGTAAACAAATAAGTTTTTTGGAGTTAAAACCACAAGTTACTGCAAGTCCCAAGCTGTTACAAAAAAGTGATCAAATTAAGGATAGGCTGCTTATTTTAAGAAATCAAAAAGTGAAGGCTTTTTTTCAAAATAAAAAAAGACAAGAGTATAAAGTTGATTTGTCAACAAATAGAGCCACTAAAGATGTAAGATTGCCAGAAAGATCGTTATTGTAGATAAGAAACAAAACAGGAGCATAAATAGAACATTGTGGTTTTAACCATTCTCATTTCCAGTAATTCTTCTTCATTTCCAGTATTTCCTGTATCTAGAAAAAAATGATTTAATAATTTCAAAACCTTTATATAAAAAAACTAATAATGGAGAGAAGACTAATCATAGAATGGTGGAAGAGGTCAGTGTGCTTTCAGTGTGCTTTCCAGATTTTTTGAAAATTGGAACCAATGATTTAGCACTTATTAATATAGCAAGAATTGAAGAGAGTTCTGGAGAACACTTTTGTAAGACTAGGATGGCAATGTTGTGTGAACCACAAGCCATAGATGTGTTCAACTGAGAATTGACTTTAACATCAGAAACCAAAGTAACTTAGATGTCTAACAATGGGTTAATCTGTCTAACTGGAATGCCAATGATTTAACATTGGCATTCCAGTTAATTCCAGTTTTTTTTTATCTCTAATTCCATTGGTGTGATCTAACAGATCACACCAATGAATTAGAGATGAAATGTTAGACTTACTTTAGTTAATGACACTGTTACTTTAACTAATGTCAGATGATTTTCCAAGTTTCTAGAACCTAACATCTGAGATACAAAATTTAGTAAACTGAAAATAATACAGCTTAACATTAGACAGGACTTTTTTCCATTGACTCCTATAATGAAAAAACATTTGTTCTCAAGAGAGATGTTCTTGTAAAAAAGATTAAAAAATGATCATGGTTTAATATAGCAATGACACAAGAAGGTGAAAAACATGGAGTTAAATACATACTAGTGTTTTTAATCCTACCTAACCAACTGGATCCAAGCAATACCTACTTGGATCCAGTTGGTTAGGTAGGATTAAAAAAACTAGTATGTATCAAAGTTTATACAGCACCGGTCACAAACCCTGGTCTCGATCATGTTTTCTGGTCTTGATCATGTGATCCAATTAAAAGCCAGTTTACAGTTCCAATCTTTTCTATTTGAAAATATATAAACTTAACTTTAATAGATGGTAATTTGCACTCTTTTATACATTTGCATTTATAATAAATTTTTTGCATTCATAATAAACTTTTTCAGGACAAGCATCAGAACAAATAAAATCACATTTTACAATGAACAGTTGAATACTAATATATCAAAAAATTAAGTTGTTTCAAAGTTAAATAATTGTTTGACGTGTTTTTTTATTTTTATTTTTTGAATTGAAATAACTTTTTTTAATTATATATAATTATAATTTTAGCTTAAACTTATATAATCTTATTAAAACTTTAATTATTATTTTTATTAGATTTAATTTTCAATTTAACAACATTTAGCAGAGCATCTGAAGTCTAAAAACATGTTTAATTTAAGTGATTTTTCAAACACAGAAGGATAGATGATTTTTACGTTTTTTAAAATAATTTAATTATTTATTTTTAAGACTTTTACTATAAATCTAAAAGTTTAAAAAAAACTTCATGAAGATCATGTAAAAAATGTATAAAAAAAATCTTTTAGAAATCTGTAAATGATTGAAGTATTACACTATACAACAATTACCACCAATTTTGTCTTGTGTACAATTAAAATATGTTTTTTATAAATAAGATAAGAAACACATCGATCAGTCTGTTATTAGAATATTGCTAATAAAAAATTTCATAAAAAAACTAATAAAACGATGTGCAGGAGCTTTTTAAAAAAATTTTTATATCTAAGCAAATCAACATTTCTTGAGATTCAAAATTCTGCATATAATGTTTTTTATTGTTATTATTTTCTATTTATTTATATGTTGTTTTTTTAATTGACAACAAAATCTGCATACTATGTCACAAATGCAACAATGCAAACTAGATATTCACAAGCATACATTCTCTTACCAAGTTGTTGACACTTGGAATCAATTGCTATTCAAATTTACATATCAATAATATCAATATCTTTAAGTATAAACTTGAAAAAGAAAAGTTTTCTTTTATAGGAATTACTTTTTCTGAAACGGAGAGACTTACATATTCACTTTATCTCACAAGAAATTTAATGTGTAATATGTGAATTGTGTAATATGTGTAAATTGTGAATTGTGATTTTGCTCTTATTGCGATTTTGTTTATATAAAAATTTTATTTATCAATATTTTGCATTTTAGTCCTGCATGATCTTTAGAACATTTTATTTTTTTAAAAATTTATATTTATCTTTCCTAACTATAAAAATTTTAACTATGAAGTTTTAATTGTTAAGCTTAATTGTTCTTGTGTTATTACTAAATATTTGTTTAATTTAACAAATTTAACTTGAAGCAAATAATTAACATTATTAAAATAATTAGATAGAAAACTGTAATTTTTTAATAATTACTATAACTAAATTTGCAGTTTTTGCTTTCATTTTGTAGTTTTTGTGTTTTGCCTTTTCATTTGTGTAAGGTTTGTAATTATTTGTGCTGTTGTTCTTAATTATCTAAACAAAGAAAATCAAAAACTGAGATTATTGTCAATTTTTATAATAAAGATTTTGATAATATCAAAAGCAAAAAAATGAGTAAAAAAAAAACAAAAAAAACAAGTCATATTATAAACAAAGAAACATTTAAAAAGTAAATACTCAAAATTAATACTTAAAAAAACAAACAAAAGAAAATTTGAACATCGATTTGTACTAAGTCACTACCAACTTTTTTTTCGCCAAAAATAACAAAAGTATTTATTTGTAGAAGTTTTTGTGTTTACATTTTCGTTTTGCAGTTTTTGCTTTCATTTTGTAGTTTTTGTGTTTTGTCTTTTCGTTTGCGCAAAGTTTGTAACTATTTGTGTTTTTGTTCCTAATTATCTTTATTGTTCACTATTTTTCTGTTTTACTAATTTTTTATTTATTTTATTGTTATTACTTTTAATTTAATTTAATTTTGTAGTTTTAGTGTTTGCATTTTCATTTTGTAGTTTTAGTATTTTGCCTTTTCGTATGTGTAAAGTTTGTTTTTATTTATTTTTGTTTGCTCTTGTTATTAATTTAGTTCTTACATATTTTTTGTCTTATTATTTAATTTTTTATAGCTTTATAATAATTATTATTTTTAAAATAATTTATTTTACACATGCTTTTGTTTATTTTTATTGCTGTTTATTTTCTTTTTTTTTTTTTGTTTGCTTGTTAATTTTATTTAGGTGTCACTCCATTGACTAGTTTTCAACTATATGAGTGGCTCCTAACTTAATTTTGTTAAATTATAAACTTGTAATTTTTCAATTTTCGGTTAAATAAATGAAATACAATTTTTAAAATTTTATAAAACCATAATTTTATAAAACTTTGATTATTCACTTGGTTTTAAAAATTTGAATTAAAAAATTGATTCTTTACAACAAGGTGATGCTTAAAACAAAAAAATGTTTAAATTAAAAATTAAAAAAAAGTTAAACTAGTAAAAAAAAATGTTGCAAGCATATATTAAGTACATATTATGCTCTTATAAGGGTTACAACACAAAGGTTCATAACAAAGAGGATGTTTTAAAAGCAATAAAAATTATTCATAAAATATACACATTTTCAAATTGCACTCATATTATGTGGGATGAAATAAAAAATGTTTATTTTTGCTGAAGTAGTGGACAACATCAAATGTCCATTAACTATTTCAAATCTTCTAATTATATTATAAAAATAACAAACTACCTTCATAGAAAATCCTGATGGCATCATGCTTTTGGGCCAATCATACTCTGTTAAATGAATACGATTTCCTGATTCAACAAGGATTGTTGATTTAATTTCCCCACTATAAATTTTAAATTTACATAATCATCATACTCATGGTATAATACAATATTTATATCTAAAACTATTTTATATTATATCTATCTATTTCAACAAAATATGTATGTATTATTAAAAACTTCATGTAACTTTACTGTTGTCAGCCAAGCATCAAATCAAATTTTAAAATATTCTTACTGAGTAAGTCGAACCAAAAATGTTTTGTTGTCTATATCATAAACATTTGCAACACGAAGTCCTATTGATGAGCTAAAAAAAAAATTTCTTTTATATATATATATATATATATATATATATATATATATATATATATATATATATATATATATATATATATATATATATATATATATATATATATATATATATATATATATATATATATATATATATATATATATATATATATATTTATATATATATATATATATATATATATATATATATATATATATATATATATATATATATATATATATATAGAGAGAGAGAGAGAGAGAGAGAGAGATAAAATAGAATAGAAAAGGTGCTGTACACACTTGAGGTGTGTAGAGTCTTAAATATGTAGAATTAAGACTATGACAGCCAATTACAAAAATTAGTGTTCAGAAACCGAAATAATTATCGATACTGTTTTTAAAAATGTTTAAATTATCTTTATCTAATATCCATTGTGGAAGAGAATTCCAATCATTTATAACTCTGTTTGTAAAGAGATGGTGACGAATTCTTGATTTTGTAAATTGTCTGCGTGTTCTACAATTGTTACTTCTACTAGATCGCTCCAGCTCAAAATTTAAAGGAGGGTGGTGAAAATTAACAATATCTTTCCCTTTTGAGATCTTATACATTTGAATCAGATCACCTCTTCTTCTTCTATCAAACAAAGTTGGCAATTCAAGTATCTTTAATCTTTCTTCATACGACTTCCCCCTTAAAGATTCAATTCTCGTAGCCCTGTGTTGCACGATTTCAAGATTGTCAATAACCTTTTTTCAAAATGGACTCCAAACTGTTGCTTCATATTCCAAATGGGGACGTACTAATGATTTGTATAGTAACTTTAATGAAAATTCATCCAAATACTCAAAAGAGTTTTTGATCATGCCTAATTTTCTGTTTGCTTTATCTATAGCTGAATTAATATGATATTTCCACTCTAGATTATTTGAAATGAAAATCCCAAGATCATCTTCTATCATTGTTTCTGTTAAAACAGAGTTGTTCAATTTATATTCATATCTTGGATTCTTTTTGCCAATATACATGACTTTACATTTTGATTCATTAAATGTAATTAACCAATCTTCAGACCATTTAACTAACCTGTTAATATCCTCTTGTAATATTTTATTATCATCATAACAATGATTGATTGAAATAACTTTGGTATCGTCTGCATATAATTTAGTGTCTTTAATAATCCTACTACATAAGTCATTAATGAAGATTACAAACAAAAGAGGTCCGAGTACTGAACCTTGTGGTACTCCACTAGTAACCATCTTCCAACTGGAAATATATTCCCCTATCACAACCCTCTGTGTTCGGTCTGACAAAAATGATTTACACCAATTTAATAAAGATGATACAAATCCTAGTCTGAATAATTGTTTCAGTAATTTCGTGTGAGAGACTGAATCAAATGCTTTTTTAAAATCCAAAAATAAAACATCAACGGAAATATCCTCTTCATACGCTTGCGTGATTAAATCTAATGTTTCTAACAGGTTTGTTATACAACTTTTGTTATTAACAAAACCATGTTGCTCTTTAGAAATTAAATTGTTTTCAATGAGGAACACCATCATATGATCTTTAATAATTTTCTCCATAACTTTACCAACAATTGATGTTAATGAAACCGGTCTATAATTTGTTGGATCTAGTTTATTTCCTTTTTTGAATAATGGAACAACGTTTGCACATGACCATAACTTTGGAATAGATCCTGTAATAAACGATTTAACAAATATTATTGCTAAAGAACTTGACAAAGATTCTAAACATTCCTTTAAAACTTTTGGGTAAACATTATCTGGACCTACTGATTTGTACATGTTTAAATTACTCAAATGTTTCTGAATAATAGAAATACTAAAATCTGGATCAGAACATTTTGTGAAAAGATTGTCGTCTAAAACTTTTTCTGATGAGTCATCTTGTATAAACACAGAAGCAAAGAATTCATTAAGAGTGTTTACTATCTCTTGATTATCAGTAGTTATAATACCATTATGTAGCTTTATGGCTTTGATCGAGTCTTTAAATTTTGTTTTGTTGTTTATATAAGCATAGACACTTTTAGGATTGTTTTTTGAATTAAGTGCCAAGTTTTTTTCAAAATTGTGAATGCTTTTCTTGACAAGTTTTTTTATATCTTTATTTAATTTTTTATACTTATTGACTTCTAAAAGACTTTTAAAACCTGAATTTCTGTTTCTAAACCAACATTTTTTTTTCTTTACACATGCTTTTAAGTTCACTTGTCATCCATAGTGAGTTATTTTTTAGTTGAAAAGAGTTTTTATCTAAATTTAGCGTTGGGATATATTTTTCACATCCTATTTCATATTTTCTAAGCCATTTTTCGTAACATTCATTAACACTTAGTCCTTCAAATTCATTTATCCAGTTTATGTTATTAAAATACAAATCTAACGCTTTATAGTTTCCATTATTCCACAAAAATTTTTTCTTCCTCGTTTGTAGTGATATTAATAAATTAGGTTTATTTTCATAACCAAATCGAAATTTCAAAATATGATGACCATGATCGATACCACCTAACGGTGGAAAATGTTCAAGAAAATAAACTCTGTTGCTATTATCAGTTAAAATGAGGTCTAAAATGTTAGTATCAATACCAAACTTTACTTGAAAACTAGGACTGATAACATTTTGGTGCAGGTAACAGTCATGTAACGACTCAATAAACATACTTGCTGTTGTGTCACTGTCATTTATAATTTCACTAAAACTTTCATCGTTCCACTTGATGTTTGCATAGTTAAAGTCACCACATATTAAAATACCAGAGCATTTGTTATTTTGTTTGAGTACATATGCTTGTTTTAATGATTTTATAATGTCAATACACTTTTCACTATTACTAAGACCTGTCCGGTACATACAACCACATAAGATTTGCTCTTTGCCAATTTCAATCAAACACCATACTTGCTCAATATTTTCATTTATTAGATATTTTTCATTTATTTCATAAGATTTAATATTCTCTTGTATATAAATACATACACCACCACGACTAAATTGACAATCTTTTCTAAACAGATTATAACCAGGAATATTAGTAGTAGACATTGCTGACCACCAAGTCTCACAAGCAAATATAACTTGAGCCTTAGATCTGGATATATCATCAATGAATTCATCAAATTTATTATATAAAGAGGTCGCATTTGTATACCAACATGTTAAATAATCAATATTTTCTGTTTTTAAACCTTTTTGAAGGTCTTGATTCATTTTCTTTACCAGCAGTGTATTAGCACTTGAATTCAAATGATTACTTCCTCCAGTGTCTGCATCAGGGTTATTTAATTGGTTATATAGATATTGACAAGGTGTATGTAAAGAATGTTTAAAATTATGTGTGTTAAACTGTGATGACTTGAACAACAACTGCTATTTGTTTATCAACACTACTTGTTTATTTCTAATTACGTGAGAGCTTTTAACTTGGTCCCAATCGACTTTCAGGTTGAGTGGTTTATTTAATTCTCTACATTTATCCCTTTCTCCAAGTTTATCCAAGTTTCTCTGAGCATCAGTTAAATCAGGATTTACATAAACATCATTAAACTTACAGTATGATTTTTTTATAAAGTCATTTCTCGTGTCCTTATTTCTTAACTCGACAATTACTGGTGCAATACCATTTTTAGATAATAATCTAAAAATACAAACCATATGAAGTTTATCTATTGATACTTGATCCAATAAATCTAATACTTTGTTTTCGTCATCTTTCCTTATACCTGCGCCATCAGTTTTATTAGATTCTTCTAAACCAAAAATAATTACGTTCTTCTCTCTTCATTTAATTTCTTTATTTTCATTCGAAACTATATTAATAATATCAATCTGAGATTGAGTTTTATTTAATTTTCTACTTGTTACAATATTCCAAGCTTCATTCGGAGCAGGAACAATAACATTTACAACTTTGTTGTTTAAATCTTCATTCTTTTTAGTTAAATCAGCAACTGTTAATACTAATGATTGTATTGTTTTTTTTCAAATCTGCTACAGCATTACTAATCTTTGATTCATATTCAATTCTAATTTACTCTCCAGTGCATCCAGAGCGTCTTTGAATTCTTTTGAATTAACCATAATACATTAGTTATAATATAGTTAACCTTATTACACAGGGACTAAAGAGTTTCAGTATGTGTTTTTTTCCGTGATATATATATATATATATATATATATATATATATATATATATATATATATATATATATATATATATATATATATATATATATCAAAATATATAAAACATACTTTAATGAAGTTAATACCTAATTGAAAAAGATTATAACCATTTTTTATTTACTATACCTACAAGCATTATTTTCTAATTTGGAGCTTAGAAAAATCAACTGAAAACAAATCAATCTCAAACAAAATAAAAAAAACCACAATAAAATGAACTATTGAACAAATTAATTGTTTAACAGAATATTAATACTGAGGTAAAGTAAAATATATACTTTATGGCTCTAGTTTATGTATTGAGCACACATTTACAAAATTATTGATGATAACAAGCTTGGTCGGGAAGCGGGAGCGATCGCTCTCGATCGCTGACCACGTAAATAATATTAAGTTGCGAAAAGCTGGCCAGATTTTTTAGTCGTTTTGAGAACATTTTTAAAAGCAAAAAAAAGAAAAAGTGATTAACATTAATTGGACCGATGAGAGACAATTACAAAAAATAAAAAATAAAAATAAAGTATAAATAAATTACGTTTAGAACAAATATTTTCGAAACTTCGCTCTTTTATAATTTTTTTTATAAAATTAAGCGATGTTTTTTATATAAAGTAACAACTTACGATTGTTTAAAAAGAAACAAATATCCTTTATTAACAAAGTTTGCAAGTTTTAGTTTTATTTAAGCTAAATTATTTTATAAATAAAAAAGTTTATTTTTTCAATACCTTTTTTATGTTTCGCGTAGTTTGAAAAGTTTAACATATTTGAAGCAATTCTTCTTA